TGAGCGAGGTGAAATAGGCCAATCCTTGCCAAGATTAGCTCATTTTCACTTAAAAACCTCTTTAGACAGGTGGCAGCTTATCAAATGATGTTTTACTTCGTCATTGTATTCAGACAGTCGTACCAAACCACTTAAGCCACACGATGAACCAAAGTTTTTTCCCATCTTTGCTATTCAAAAAGCAGTCCTGAGACATAATGAACGTCTCGCTTGTGAACGACTTCTTCCTGTACTTGTAATTGTTTCCAACGCGATACAAGTTCGGGAGATCTAAAGGAACTCATTATAACTTTGTATATTCGATACGATTTCAATTTCCGCGTCAAAGGAGAAGCCTACTGTAATTCGTGAGTGGTCAGTGGTTACGCTAGTGAGGTAAAGAATGGGTTTGTGACTTTCTCATTCAATTGAAAGACTCGCGTCACTCTTATAAAATGGTTGAACAGAATACAGACTTCGAGTAGTCTCTTATTTTTCTTAAAGATAGTGAGGTCACGCGTATCCTGTGAGCATGGTGAATCCGAGTCTCGCGTCTTCGCCGCTCCACGCTCTCAGAGTTGGGCAAAGACAAGACAAGTTATTTCCGGTGCGATACAAGAGGTTCAGTGGTTATCTCGATTATCTAAACACATTTATTTACGTGGTAAAGATTTGTTTTTAAATCTATGAACTGATGCTAGTCCTATTTGGAACGAAGTGTATTTGAAATAAAAAGAATACTAAGTAAAACAAAAGTTGTCTGCAACACGAAGTATGCCTTCGCATTAAGACTGAGAATCCTAATGTTTATCGAATGTTCCCAAAAACCTTCTGAACCGAACTGTTTTCACTCAGCAGCAGGTCAGCGGTCACGTTTACGAGGTAAACAAACCGATCGATTCTTGATCACCGTTCTTGTCGATTGGAAAATCAAAATACCAGCGTCATATTGCCGCGAAGATGAAGCAGTTATGTTATTTGATTCGTACTTCACATTCGAGTCAAAGCTTGGGTGGCACAGGTTATTTCTTGCGGTGGAATCGACGAGGGGAATTCAGAAAGTTGTAGTGTTATTATTGTTGGAATAAATGGTCGCATGGGGATAGTAAGTTTAACAAACAATTTCAAATTTTGCCGCTTGAATTGAAAGTAAAGTTCATTTGAATTGCTTTCTCATATATTTCTGACGGTTTTAGATTAACCTGCTTGATTTATATCGGTTACGCTTCATGTTGACAAGTCCCTCAAAATGGCGGCCAAACTTGGAGATCGCCGAAAATTAGGTAAGTTCACGGAGTTATAAAGTTCTCGTAAAGGTTGGGCCGCAAAGTTTTTTTCTGTAGTTATCTTTTCTATGGCACCTACTTCCTAGCTATGTTAGTTGGATCAGTTAAGAACGCCTCACTTTTTCAAAAATTTACCTTGAATTTGATCGGTTTTGGCGTGTTTGATTTAGGCGAACCGATAAGGTGTCATTCAAGTCTTCCTGTTTCCTTGATTGACACGTGATGTTTACGAAAGTCGCCTCGATAGATAAGATAGAGTTAATATACATGGCTGTGGTATTTGTTTTTTGCTGAGTTCCGTAGTTTTTTGTAAATTGTCCTCTAAAGTTGTATGAAATTAAAGTCTTGAAAAGTGTCACAACAAGCCTTCGCTCGAGTGAAGTTTAATTTCCATAAAACTCTGAAAAATAAAGAGATCCGATCAAACTGATTGTGGTTTTAGTATAGGTACATGAATGTCTTACAACACACGAGAAACGAGCGAAATCCGTGTCTCAAGCAAAATCGACCGGACCGCTCTTACAGAGACACTCTCTTAAAAACTGTCAAGCAATAATTTAGCAATAAAGTTTAAGTATTTTGTATATCAATGTAAATTTACATCGCGTTTTGTTTGATCTGTTTGTCCTCACTGTCAACTTGAATTTGTATTGTAGCTCTGAAGCCCGTGAGACTCGAGCAAATCGTTTGTAATGCGTCTACTTACGTCTACGAATTATAGCATTGCGGCTTTCGCGCAAGATGAAGCCGTATAAACTTTGAGAGATAAATTCGAACACGAATCGTTAGTATTTGCTCGAAGACTTCCTCGAGGCCAGGGCGAGTTTTCGAACTAAAATTGCGTTAGAGGTTGATGAAAGTCCTTTCTTAAATGGAGAATTAACTATCAAAACCACAAACAAGTGCAACATTTTCTTAAGGCAAAAAGGAAAAAAATTCTTGTACAAATTTTCTCAGCCCTTACTTATTTTAAGGAAGTTACTTACACTGTAAGTGGGACCCTTTTGATTGATACAAACATAAGAGTGTTATTGTATGTTTAGAGCTTTGTGTACAGCTTATGCAATTGAAGGCTTAACGTTTCTTGAGGCTGGCAATATTTCCTTGTCAAAGACATTCTTCTCTTATTAATTTTTCGTTAGCGATCCTTTATCAGCACACGGTGGAGTCTCCTTAGATACACACTGGATTATTTGAGAACTTGAAGGAAATCTTCTTAAACAACCTTTAAAAGATACTTTAGACCGAATAAGATTTTTCATAAGGATACTTTGTCTACGTTACCGACTGAAAATTTCGCTTATTGCAAAATTTGAAATCATGATGATCGTGATCGTGATCGTGATGACAATTGCGTAATTGTTGCCATGGTTTAGTGATGTTGTAGAAGGAACCAGAAAGTTCTTATCTAAAGTTAATCATCGTTTTGGCTTGAAACCAGGTGTTTCTATCTTAACCATAGCTACCATATTGTTATAAAAGAGAGCACTTTTACCTCAAAAGCAGTGAGGGACCAAAGAGCTTTGCACCTTGAGAGGTAAGGATTGATCATTGAGAGCAAACTAACTTAGGGTCTTTTCAACGAAGGCAGATTATCAGTACTCGGGGTTTACTAACCGAACCTTTAAATGTTTATTTCCATGCAAAACGAAAGCTCTGGTGAACAATATGTTGCTCTGTTTACCTCAAAAACTACCAATAAGTTGCTAAAGTTTCAACCCCGTCCAAAATGCTGAATGTGTTAGAAAGGATCATTGATCGGATATAGTTTGGAAGCTTTATGTTTGAATCTTTCTTGAACCTTTGGTTATTGAATTTTGTGGATAAATAAAGAGTTTAAACGATCTACGGGATTTTTGTTTCATAAAAATGACGATAATCAGCTCCAAAAACTGACAAATTAAAGCGGGCTTGAAACGGTAACACGACTTTTCTATGTCTATTATTACCAAAGTTGCTATACGTCAAATACTAATGATACAATAAATTTTGCAGGGTATTTATCTTTTGGTGAGAATGAATGAAAAATATGCTAGATAAATATGCTGAAAAATATGCTTGATCTTTTAAATTTTGAAAGTTTTTTGATTAAAAAGTCTAAAAGAACTTTACGTCCAAGAATCTACTTTTCCTGGGGTTTTTCGCCTTCAATTAGACCTTCTCAAGAAATTAATCGAAATTTTTACAACGTTGTTCTGGGGACTAATTTCACTGTCTAATACATATGTTAACATCGAGCAAAGCGGATAACATCCATTTGCGTCATTTGCATTTATGTCCACAGCTACAAGCTTTTTTTAAAATTTATTTTCATAGTACGGTTACGTTTATAAAAACAGGTCGATTTTGGAAGCTTTACGTACTGCTGCGAACTGGTGATCAAGAAGAAGGCATGCAATTTGTTCCATTTTTCATGTTCATAGCCTGGAATGTATTATTTATTAACTTCACTTTTGGAAAAGGTGAGTCGCAGACGGCGAATCTTTTTTTATCCTTCGATTCACTTATGAGTACAACCTTATTTTATATATCTCCTTTATTCTCTTTTGCTGATAAAAAATGAGTTAAGGTTACAACAATTAATTAGCAAAGACTAAGTCAAAAACCTAAATTCAGCATCCACCCATGATTTGAACTCATTTTTGAAAAATCAAAGGGTATTTAACACAAATGTTTCATCGTTCCTTATTCAGAAAATTGGATGTTAGATGCAAAACGACCAAAAACTTCGGCAAATACAAATTACTCCATTTAAAATTGTTACATCCCCATTTCTCCTCTCCCAATAACATTAAAGCAGGCGCTATGTGATGTTAAATTTCTATGTGATTTATTAGGCGGGAATTTGATCTTTCTGCATCCTACGGAAGCACATTTTTACCGCTCTTAACCACCTTAGAGAAATTATTTTTACAAGAGAACAGTGTTGACATACGATAAAGAATAGTTACATTTTTCTTGTTGTGTATTAGTCCGTGCACATGGCTTATCTATCAAAAGTTTTAATCGCGTATTGTGCAAGTCTCTGTGAGAGTCATTCGCGCAAACATATTTAAGGATTCGTTCAAAGCTACTCATCTCAAAAACAAGTGCCATGACTACCGTTAAATTGTTGGTACTTTCGATATTTTTAGTTTGATAAATATAGTGTTTGACTTTTTTCACTCGAAATTACTATTTTCCGGGAAAAAGTCAAAATTTCTAATGTATACTGAATTTATCGATAGAAACATCTTATATATGAATCTCCTGCTTGCGTGGCCTGTCTTAATGGAAATCAGCATAAATTTCCTCTTTCTATGATAATCCGTGGTCTAAATTACCAAGGCGATCATGTAAAATCAAGCAAGAAACTCTGAATTTTCAAGGACCTGTATAATGAAGAAAGCGAAAAAAGGTTTATAGAGAAAAATGATTTTTTTTTTCATGACTTATCGATCATGAAGTAGAAAAGGAACTTTTGGGAGGGAGGAGGGGTGCTGGGGTTAATTATCTTGTGAAAAACTTCATCCTAAATACCAATTTTCTTAGAAGACACAAATCCCCAAATAAAGGTAGTATTAATTTTTCTCCATTTTCCCGTAGTCGTGGTTTGATTGAGATCACAGTTCTTGGTTCACCAAGCGTGTTATTTTTTAAGCTTAAAACCTCAAATCGTGAATTAATTTACGTCTGATAAGAGAAATTGTTCACTAATTATATTTTGATTGCTTTATTTCAGAGCGAGATCGCACAATGCGGTTTCCAGATTACTTCTTCTTTGCTGAAAAACGTTTGGTAAGCCATGAAATCGAAACCAAATACGTCAAAGACTTGGATCACTGTGAGCTTTTCTGCTACATGAACGACAACTGCGTCAGTGCTAACTTCAAAAAAAAACCCGAGGGCGGAGGAATCACTTATGTCTGTGAACTGAATAACGCCACTCATCTTGAATATGATACTGACCTGATAACTGATGCCGATTTCTATTATCGTGGCTCAAAGGTAAAATATAAAGTATAACTTAAATTCAGCAACTCTACGCTTTTCGATGAATGGTGAAAAACAGCCATTAATTATCAAAACTTCAGTTCGTTCGTCCATCTATCAATCATTCAATACATCCATATTTCTTCTTTTTTTTTTTTCTTTCAGAACGCCTGCGGTAAAAACCCACCGTGTCAAAATAATGCAACTTGTCAGTCTGGTTTCACAATCAAGGGATATCGATGCTTATGCCCTCCTGGATTAGAAGGAGAACATTGCGAAAAAGGTTAATTACAGAATATGCCCATAAAAACAAAGAGTATTTCAACCACCTATATTCATATATCACGTTTGGCCGTCGAGTACGTATCTTAAAGGAAGGCTACCAAGGCTGATCTTTGACGACTAATATCCTGCTTCAGTTTGGAATGGTGTCTAGAGAGAGATTCCGCTGCAGTGGAAGTTTTGGTTTAGACTAAATTAACAATTAACTTGTCACAAAGATAACTAACTACATGCTTTTCCACCTCATACGAGTTTAAAAACGACTTTATATCTCACTCGTGTAGCCACTACCGTTGTAGAATTTTTCCTTTCTTTCCCATTTTGTAGATATTGATGAATGCCAAAAAAATACTCACAATTGTCACCTGAACGCTACTTGTCAAAACACAAATGGATCCTTTGTGTGCACCTGTTTCTTTGGATTTAACGGAGATGGACGGAACTGCACAGGTAAAGGCCTTTAGATTGTAATTGCCTCCCTATAACTTTAAGAAGTGTTAGTTTGCTTGTGTTTGTTTGTTTGTTTTGATAAAGTAGTTACCCTTGCCTTAATATTTTTAACCAACGGTAGAAAATGAAAATCCTTAATCCCACTTGAAAGCAAGAGGACGGGACAAAATGCTGAACATTTTGGCTGACCAGCTTCCTCGTTAATAAAACAAGGCGACCAACAACTCTCTAACGACAACTGTCGCACCCTATGTTCAAAATAAGAAGGTTTATACATGTATCATGCTCCAAGAATCGTGATCGAAAGCCTGTTATTTCTCAGATATTGACGAATGTGCAAGAAATCGTTCTTGTTATGTGAATGCCAACTGTACCAACACCATTGGATCACATGTATGTACATGCCACACTGGATACACTGGAGATGGACAAACTTGCTCAGGTGATTTTAATAAGTTTCCTGCAATGTTCAGAAAGTCCTTTATGACCGAAGAGGGGCAACCTTCATTACTGCTCTTCTATACATACAATCCCAGCCATTCAAAGTGGAGAGTAATCTAAAGCGTCCTTTTAACTCAAATTATGATGCCGGAGGAAGTCAAACATTTATCTTAAAATGTGGTTCTACTCCATAATTCACCCCTCATTAGAAATGGTGGATTATTTTATTTTGTCCTAAATCTTTTGAGATTAGGTTTGCAGTATTTTGTACAGGTGTTCATTATATATTTATTAACCAAAACATTTTCCATCATAACATCCAACTCTTGGTTGTGACGTGGCGCGCTTGATCCCCATCAGACATCGACGAGTGTTCACAAATGAACATCTGCGATAAGAACGCCTCCTGCAGTAATACCCTGGGCTCCTACAGTTGCGCCTGTAATCCTAAATACATTGGGGATGGTTTGACTTGTAAAGGTTAGTCTCTTTCAATCCATGCCTTAAAAATTTTTGAAAGATGGTACTGACTGGACTCGTTGTTGGCTGAATTAGGGAAAAAAAACAGATTTGATTTTTTATATCATATTTGTAGACTTGCATTTGATGTGCTTGGTTTTTGTCCTCCAGGAGAGAAAACAATGGTCCCCATTATTTTTTCTAGTGGGTAGACACTAAAGTTATCAGCTGATGTCAAGCTAATTTCATAATATAAGTCAATACCAATGTCAATATTTTGATTGATATGATTTCACCTTACTGAACGACGAAAATTTTAGGCTTAATCCACTCGATTTTCCACCATTTAGTTGACATATGCCAAGTCCACACTGTCCTGCAGGATGACGATAGAGACGTACGTAAGCAGAGCTTGCAAAACACAAAATGCGATAAAAATCTCAAAACTGGTTGGTATCGTTTCCTGAACATTCCAGGAATAACAATGGCGACTGAGTGCCCGCAAGTTACTGGCACGTGCGGTACGACATATCCAGGCTGGTTCTATGGCAATCACCCTACAGTGGATGAGGGAGAAGTAGAAAGGACCGTCTGCTTCAGAAAGGGCTCAAGCCGGTGCTGTCAGGAAAACAATTTCATTAAGGTGAAGAACTGCAGTTCCTTTTACGTTTACCGTTTAGTACCGACGGCGAAATGTCCCTACCGTTACTGTTTCACATAAAACTAAGTATTGCCACAGAAAATAGTGAACATAGCCAGGTTTATCAGTTAACTATTTGCGATTTTTAGACGCCATTGCTACAAAAATATTGGCGGCTAGTTGGGTTAAAATACATGCTCTTTTTGAGCGAAGTCGCGCAACCAAAAAGTCCAGTACGAGAATATCTTCTATCCAAATATTTTGTGTTATTGGTTTCTCAAAATCGCAGTTAGTTTTGTACAATGATCCATCCATCACCAGAAGGTAAAACTATAAACAAACCATGCAGTAAGTGCTTGATCAAAAATTCAATTTTTTCTCTCTGCAAAATATACTCATAGCAACGTGAAGTATAAAGAGTATAGAGTTTTCTGACGGATATTTGAGTGATTTTGTAGAATTTGCATTGATGTCGACTTACCAAGATTTCTTTAAAGTGAGTTTGAAGTCTGAAGACCTCCTGAATTAATGATTATGCAGCACACAGCTTAGAAGTTTCCAGGACGATGTTTCGAGAGGTTTTTAGCAATTATTCCATGACCACCCATCGGATACAAGATTGGTAAATAGCCAACGAGGCGCGTAGGGAATCACCTTGTATGCAAAACGATTTACTCAAGTTTTGCTGAGCTGGATTTTCTTTTGGTTGGAAACCAACACTTCTCCCGTGCATTTTGATTAATTTATTTTAATAAATAATTATTCCAGTCGTGCTTATTGGATGCAAGATTGGTTACAGTTGATTTGAAACGCAATTTTTTTCGTTAAATTACTAAAAAAAAACCGCCAAGACTTAAGTAAGAAACTTTTGTTTAAAACGTACACTGAAAGCTTTCTGTGTTACAAAAGAAGTCTTTGGAACAACGTGAACACGGCAATGCAAAACAAATAATCCTTAGCGAAACTCCGAGTGATGATACCCTCCAAGGATTTTCAATAGCCATAAACGAGGACTCAGAGAGTGAGGACAGTACGGTATCCGCCGCTTTCGCCCCCTATCGAGTTCGCCCCTTCGAGTTCGCCCCTACCTTATACCGTGTTCGCCCCCACACTTTTCGAGTTCGACCCCATCAAGTCGAGTTCGCCCCCAGATTGAGTCATGTCTAAATTAGTTGTTATCGAACATTGCAAACAAGTTAGAACCAAGACAAGTTTTGAATTTTAATTGACCGACGGCCATTTTGAAAGTTTATATGTGCGTGGGAGCTAGGGAGATGAAAGCGTGGTTTGCGATCCTGGTTTGCATTTTCTCAAGTCTGGTTGCTACGACCTTAAAACACAATGAAGTGTGCAACACATTCTCTCAAGAAGTCTTAAATAATCAAAAGCGTGATCAAATCGTGGTTTCGTAAATTCTTCCGAAGAATGGCAGTCTTAATTTCATAAATAAAGCTAAACGAGGTACAAGTCTAACAACTTAAGCAATGCTGTCGCGATGAAAGCGTGGTTTGCATCTTCTCAAGTCTGGTTGTTACGATCAACACATTTCGTGTTCGTTAGATAAACCCAGATTGTTTTACATCTTTTCCAGTCTGAATAATAAGTTAAGCAATGTTGTTTTGATTAAGAGTGGTTCTCTCTATCACAAGTTCAGTGTACACAGTTATTTCTGGTAACCCCAGATCCCACGCAGAGTATTTAGTTGATTCCGTCAACCCAGTTCCCAAGCAGGTTCCACGCAATTGCCGAAATTCAAAATGGTCATCGCTGACGTGACATTTGGCACATTCTGCTAGTGCCTTCGTCACAAATCAACTCATCTGGATATCACTCAATCTGGGGGCGAACTCGACTTGATGGGGTCGAACTCGAAAAGTGTGTGGGCGAACACGGCATAAGGTAGGGGCGAACTCGAAGGGGCGAACTCGATAGGGGGCGAACGCGGTGCAATTCGACAGTACAGACGATGAAGAAAGTCGCCATCATCAGCGGTTTCTTCCAGTCAGTTCGAATCTGCCCAGAACATAGCAAAGACCCTTAAGAAAGCTTGTGAAAAATTGAAATGCCAATGCACAGCGAAGGCTAGACTATCCGAGACGACTCCATTTTTAAAATAAGACTATCTTGACTATTGTTAGCTTTCAACTTGTGAGTGACAATTACTTTTTCGATACTTTTAGTAATTTAGTGAGCACATATTATTGCATTTTAGATATATTCCCGATACTTGCGTGTGGTTGAAACTACTTTTCATTCCTTTCTAGGAAATATAATGTAAAATTGGAATTGCACCAGCTTTTTTATGCATGATTTGAACAATAATAACTCTACTCCTTCATAAAGACTAAGTAGAATAAGGGATCAAACTGATGGCGATTCTCAGCTCAAGAGTTGTAGGTTAATTAAATTTGCAGCTAATAATAAATGAGGTAACTCCATGTGTGTCGACTACTTTATTGATTAATCACCTTTTGTCACCTTTGCCTTACGGAGGGAAATTTAGCTCGCGTTAACTGCTGAGGCAGTCTCCCGAAGTTTAAAATGCGTAAATCCTTATCCTCTAGACAATTCTTTGCCGTGATGGTCACCAAACATGATAAAGATGATGATCTGAAAGGGACCTAAGAGGTGATATTTTTCCTGCAAAGACGTTGATTTCTGATTGGTATGTCCTATCTAAAAAAAAATAAATATGGAATGGGTTACTAGCTTTACGACTCGACCAATTTAGGAACTGATCCTATGTTACCACTGATCTTATGTACCTACTGATCCTATGTTCCTACTGATCCTATGTTCCCACTGATCCTATGTTCCCACTGATCCTATGTTCCTACTGATCCTATGTTCCTACTGATCCTATGTTCCTACTGATCCTATGTTCCTACTGATCCTATGTTCCTACTAATCCTATGTTCCTACTGATCCTATGTTCCCACTGATCCTATGATCCCACTAATCTTGTGTTCCCTCTGATCCTATGTTCCTACCGGATCCTATGTTCCCACTGATCCTATGTTCCCATTGATCCTATGTTCCCACTAATCCTATGTTCCCACTAATCCTATGTTCCCATTGATCTTATGTTCCCATTGATCCTATGTTCCCACTGATCCTATGTTCCCATTGATCCTATGTTCCCACTGATCCTATGTTCCCACTGATCCTATGTTCCCACTGATCCTATGTTCCCACTGATCCTATGTTCCTACTGATCCTATGTTCCCACTGATCCTATGTTCCCACTAATCCTATGTTCCTACTGATCCTATGTTCCTACTGATCCTATGTTCCCACTGATCCTATGTTCCCACTAATCCTATGTTCCCACTAATCCTATGTTCCCACTGATCCTATGTTCCTACCGGATCCTATGTTCCCACTGATCCTATGTTCCCATTGATCCTATGTTCCCACTAATCCTATGTTCCCACTAATCCTATGTTCCCATTGATCCTATGTTCCCATTGATCCTATGTTCCCACTGATCCTATGTTCCCATTGATCCTATGTTCCCACTGATCCTATGTTTCCACTGATCCTATGTTCCAACTGATCCTATGTTCCCACTGATCCTATGTTCCTACTGATCCTATGTTCCCACTGATCCTATGTTCCCACTAATCCTATGTTCCTACTGATCCTATGTTCCTACTGATCCTATGTTCCCACTGATCCTATGTTCCCACTAATCCTATGTTCCCACTAATCCTATGTTCCCACTGATCCTATGTTCCTACCGGATCCTGTTCCCACTGATCCTATGTTCCCATTGATCCTATGTTTCCACTGATCCTATGTTCCCACTAATCCTTTGTTCCCATTGATCCTATGTTCCCTCTGATCCTATGTTCCTACCGGATCCTATGTTCCCACTGATCCT